AGAGTTATGAATTTCTAAAAGTTGTTTCAGATTGAGGGTTTGTCTTGACAAAGAGCCAAGGTTATTCTGTTAAAATCAAGGTCACTGACAGAAGAAATCCGTTCTTTTCCAGGCTATGAACTAGTAAGTGAAAATCATTGGAGGCTCTTACTTGAAACATAGATTACTTATGATTGGAGGTTGTGTCATGTCACCCTGATCAAAGGTCTTTCTGGCAAATCAAGGTCACTGAGAGAGAAAAAATGTTTAAGCATAACCTTGTAATTAAGATTCACTGGAGGCTCATGATGAGAAGAAAAGGTTGTTTACATAAGAAAGTGCAGTGACCTTGACCCAAGGTCGGTACTTCCTGTCCACAGCTCCAACGGAAGACCTACTCGTTGCTTTGCAACGAGCTCGGCTCTAGTTTACTTTAGTTTTGTTTTGTTTTTTTTTGCTATTTAAAAGAATCAAAATATTAAAGATATAAATAATATAGAAATGAATCATTCATTAATAAAAGTGTCTTTGTTAGTTTTCATGTTTTTTCAAAGCCTGCACGAGGTTTTAAAACTATATTTGTTTAATACACACGATGAAAAGAAAACTAATTCAATTCTTGCTTAACATCAAGTTATTGTATTTTAGAAGTATGCTATCTTTGTAGAAGCTGTTGTGATGGTTATAGATTTGATCCTGAGGAAGACAGATGTATAGGTAAGAAAATATTTGTATTTAATTTTTAAAAAAGTTACATATCTAATTATTTGACTAATTATTAAACTTGCACAACACAATTGACTCCACACAACTTGAAAATGTTTACAAATGGATGGATCTATTGTAATTCTTGAGAATATTCCAAAACATTCTACAGGTGTATTCATATTTAAAATTTTAATCCCATTTTGTGACCACATCCTATCACAAGGGAACCATGCTGTCAAGAACATTTCAATCTATACTATGTAAAAAGGCTACCATTTCTCCGGGGAGCGTACAGTCCCTTTGTTTTTGAGATTTATTCAAAAATTATTCAATATAAATTTCTCATCCCTAGGCCTACTTTGACGCAAACTATCTTCGGCACTTTTGCTTCGAACAATTAGGAAATTATTAGGAAGCTTTTCAAGTCTTGTGGCTATTAAATAGAGGATATGTTTTTAAATTTTTTTTTAAATGAGTTATGAGTAATCTAGAATCCTCACTATGTCATAAAGCTTACATATATATTTTCTACATTTTCTGTTCTGGTGATTTCTTTTTCTTTTCATTTCAATGTAAAACAGACCCTTTATTGAGACTTATTGCTACCCCTGGGGGCAATGTTTGATATGAAATGCACACTTAATTCCCCATAAAGTTTTGACAAAAAATTCATCTGATCATTTTTTGTATGTTATTGACTCTATTTTTGAAGTAAGCTGGGTCTTTCATTTGAATAATAATTTTAAATCCCTTTACCAAATGATGCTTGTAAAAACGTTGGTTGAATAAGCCCCTGACAGTGGTTTTTAACAAATTTTAAAAAAAGTGAAAATGCAAAAGACGGAAAAACATAATTTAGGAAATACAGACGGACAAACAGACACTGGGACAACATAAATTTAAAAAAAAAAACTTTCTGTATAAATCTCTGAAAGAATGAATAACAATTCGTCGCAGCACAAAAAATTGGGATATTTCCGTTTACTCTTAACCATAAATAGGTCTGTCAGAAGGAACATTATACCTATCCACAGAAATGTCACTTCTTCGTTAATAAAGAACAATTTTCACTTAAACAAAAACAAACGCCAATTATATTTCAAGAGTTGTTCAAAAACTTCGTGGACGATGTCAATCTTCGTTACATCATCATCTAAAGTTTAAATTTAGCACAATATTATATATGTGAAATTTTATGCTTTGTTGATGTATGAAGTTTCATTCCATTCGATTCGACAGAAATCAATTTACTTAATTTTAAAATCAATATGTTTTGTAGCCGCAGAGCACACTCAACAGCAATGTAAAGTCAAAACATAGCGTCAAGAATTTCTAAAAAATACCATTCCTAAAGTAAAACATTTCATACAGTGTAATCCAAAGACCACTCATTAAGTCCCTCTAATACCTGGCATTTATTTTTTTAAGAATTGCTCTCGTTGTATAATTTTCTTTGTTAAGGTTTTAATTTCCGTTATAACTTAACACTGCTTTCACAGGATAAGAAACTATGTCTTTCCTTGACGTTCCAACTTTTTGTTCAGATTTTTACAGTTAAACAATTTCTTAACAGATTGCCCTTATCCGATACAGAGTTTCCGGCACACAAATACTGCATGTACTATTTGGACACACATGCACAACTCGCTTGTTACATATTTTTTTTATTCCTCTTAAATATTTTAGAGTTTATACAGGATTTTTCCTGAGTAAAACACAAAACTGCATCATCTGCTGCTCCGTGACTTTATAAAACGTCATTGTTTTGTCGTTTTCAATGCAAGGATTTCTTTTCAACAAATCAAATTATTAAGGATGTATCTTATGACACGCGGAAAAACGTGCATTAAACTTTTCAAATGCTTCTATTTTTCTGAAAGTGTAATATCCAAGGAATAATTTAAAAACAAGAAAAGTGTATGTTAGTGTTCATCTAAGAGAGATTCAACCCTTCGAACATAGGCCAAAATAGAGCATGCGAAATTTCATTAAAAATGCTATTAGACCATAAAATACCCCCATAAACTTATAAATACAATCAATTAAAACTTAATTTTGCTTAGATTTACTTGAAAGTATTGCATAGTTGATTTTTTAAGCAAAATATGAGCCAATAAATACCATTTAAATAAATTATGCCCAAAAATGTTGTTCACCGGTGTCAAAATTAGGCAAATTTTTCCCTATAAAATTGCTCGAAAAACCAAAGAAAAACATATTTCTACAATTAAACTTTTTGAGAAAATTGTTGTACAGTTTCTTTAGGTAATATGGCTCCTTTTCATAGCAAGAAAAGTAGGGGTTAGTGCACATATTAGAAAGTTTTGATATTTTTTATATCCCCACCCCCCCTTTTTCTTTTTCAGCATTTCATGGGAAAAAAACGTTGTTTACGCAGCAAATTATGCATTTTTTTTCACCAGATATCGAAAAAAGTGTGATAATGTAAAAAAAAAATTTGCTATTTCATTTTCAAAAGCTTTAATGAACATACAATAAACATACAATAAATATATTTTCATAATAATTTCATTTACAAGCAATTTTAGTGCAAATAGTGACCTTGACCTTTGTGTAAATACCCTTGAATTTCATATTGCTTCTGGTTATCACACTGAATGTTCTCATTTTAAAAATTCAGGAACACATTATGAAGATTAAAATGTAATATTTGGTCATTTTCTGAAATAAAAAAGGATGAACAGGTATTTGATGAACAGCAATTCTAAAGGAATACATAAAGATCAATTATGACAAAGAAAAAAGTTCATGTTCTGAAGAAATAGTTTTAATCAGTTTAATTAGTTTCTACCACTTCCATTCCATATCAATAAAATAAAAAGAAACCTAAAATAGCCATCAGAAGTCTCTGATGAGACTAGAGCTCTACTGGTGTGCATCTTAGCATCATACTGACGAGTTTCTGAGTATACATGGAAGTGGTACTGTATACTGGGTTATTTTGACCCGTGTTATTTTCGCCATATAACACTTGCAATACAAATTTGTTCCATTTTAAATTCGCCAAGTCCCAGTTCTGCTTAAGAATTTATAATGTGTTCTTTAAATTTGCGCCATTTTAAATTCGCCCACTTGTGACAAGGGCGAAAGAGGCAAAAATAAAATGGGCGAAAATTTCCCTGTAGACAGTATTCATATCAATTTCACAGTTGGCTTACTAAAAAAGCACAGCAAAAATAAAAATATATCACAAAGTACATGGTTACTGTCTTGAAATATAAGTGATATATGGGCTCGGCAAGCGTCGTCCTCCATCATGCTTGGTTACCCCCACCCATACATTGCTTATATTTCAGGACTAAGTATCAAAGACCATTTGACCAGTTCAACTAAAATGAGGTTCAAACTATCATTTTATACTGTAGATCACTATATTCTTGTGACACCTTATTTTCAAGAGTTAGCTATTTCGTATTTATTTGGGTAGAATAAATTTCCGTAAGCTATTGTATATAATCCTTAAAGTTTATAATACAAATACATGTATACACAAGAATAACTTTCATAAACAGACAGACTGGTGTAATAACACGAAAATTAAGTTCTCACAAATATTTTAGAAATACTTTTTCAACTTTCACTTGCATTTGCAAACAGACAGACTGGTGTAATTACACAAAATTTAAGTTCTCGCAAATATTTTAGAAATACTTTTTCAACTTTCACTTGCAAATGTATTTCCAAAGTGTTCAGCTACAGCATGTATAATCTTTGATGATTTAGTTACTCTAGGACCACCCCCACACTCCTCCGAAAAAACTTGTCTTATGCCCTCTTCTCCTCCCCTGTGAAATGCTAATTTCAACGCTGCATAGTTCAAGTCACTGGTGGCTATTTTTTTACCCATTGACATTGTTATGATCTTGTCACTGACAAGTCCTTGAAGTGATGGCAAATTGGCAGCCAGTACTTTCAGACTCTGATGTGAAAAAATGGCGCTTGACACTGAGATGGAAGCCTTCCTTTTGTTTTCCTCACAGATTTCAATTGAAGACACAAGTCTTTGAAGGTAGATCACATCCTGGAGAGCATCGTGTGCAGGGTATTCACATTCCAAGAACGACGCTACCAAAGCCTGTTGAGTATATGAAGGCAAACCTGGGAACTGTGACTGAAACAAAAGCTTTGTATCAAAAAATCCTGGAACAATAGTCTCGAAATCCTCCAGCTTTCCACTAGCCTCCAAGGCATGGAACAACACATGGCAATCAAATGACTTTATGTTATGTCCACAAAGAATGGTACCATTTCCTTGTTTAGAAATGAACTGCATGAAGGATTCCAAAGCATCTGAAATATTGCTGGATTGCACAGGTTTGCCTCTGTGAAACATTAGGCCATTTCTCACTGTTATTCCTGTCACATCAGATGCACTGGAAGAAATGGGGATTTTTGGTCGGACAAAACGCTGCCACTGTTCATCGACACATACTGCAGCTATCTGTGTAATATGGGAATTACGACCTGCAAAATAAAAGTGAATATATAATAAACAATGATATTAATTTTTGCTCATTTCATGAGATAACAATACTTTATTACATTTTTACAAGTGAAATACTGTAATTTATTCAATGAATAAAAATGACATCCTGTCACAGTGTGAAATGATCTCAAAATGATATCCTGTCACAGTGTGACAAATATCAAAAGTGTGGTAAAACTCTCAATTTTTCTTCCCATAATGGAGAGTGTTGTAAAAAAAATCTTCCTTGACCTGATATAAGATAGATAGAAATAAATAAACCATTCTGACAGAGAATGAAACTGCCAATATAGCCAAAAATATGATGCTAAATTCAAAGTTTTCACTTCACTTAGCTATTTCGTCTCAACCGCTCAACTATGACGTCATGTAGCCTATGACTGTATTACAAAAAGACAGAGGCAAAGGAAAAATCAAAGATATTTTTAAAAATGTAATAAACAGAAATTTTTTTTGTTTTTAGTTGAATATGGAATTTATTTCACTCGTGCTTCACACTCATGAAAATATTTTTAAAAAATCCTGTCCCACTCATGAAATAAATTCCATATTAAACTACAAAACATTGAATATCCTTAATCTATTTTTGGCAGTAATCCCTTTTTAACTCACCTGAGCCGAAGGCTCAAATGAGCTTTTCTGATCACATTTTGTCCGGCGTCTGTTTGTCCGTCCGTCTGTCTGTCTGTCTGTCTGTCTGTAAACTTTTCACATTTTCAACTTCTTCTCAAGAACAGCTGGGCCAATTTCAACCAAACTTGCCACAAAGTATCCTTGGGTGAAGGGGATTCAAGTTTGTTCAAATGAAGGGCCATGCCCTCATTCAAGGGGAGATAATTGGGAATTAATGAAAATTTGGTGGCATATTTTAAAAATCTTCTTCTCAAGAACCACTGTGCCAGGAAAAATGAAACTTATGGGGAAACATCCTCAGGTAGTGTAGATTCAAGTTTGTTCAAATCATGACCCCCGGGGGTAGGGCGGGGCCAAAATGGCCGTCCAAAGTTTTACATAGAAATACATTGTATATAGGAAAATTCATTAAAAATCTTCTCAAGAATGAAAAAGCCATTATTCATCATATTTATAAGGAAGCATGCTCAGATAGTGTAGTTTCAAGTTTGTTCAAATCATGACCCCCGCGATAGGGCGGGGCCAAAATGGCCGACCAAAGTTTTACTTAGAAACATATAGGAAAATTCTTTAAAAATTTTCTTCTCAAGAATGACAAAGCCATAATTCATCATATTTATATGGAAGCATGCTCAGGTAGTGTAGATTCAAGTTTGTTCAAATCATGACCCCCGGGGGTAGGGCGGGGCCAAAATGGCCGACTAAAGTCTTTAAAAATTATTTTCTAAAAAATAGCAAATCCATAATTGGTCATGGGACTACTTTTGGATTTAAACTTTACAATAAAAAGCCATTTTCTACTTTTTCCTACCCTTAGTGCTCAGGTGAGCGATGTGGCCCATGGGCCTCGTTTTTTTTGGCAAGCTTTTTTAGATCACAGAAAAACTGAAAGTTGCATAAAATTGGGTTCTTTTTAGATTACAAAGAGATTACGTGTCATAATGACCAACATAAGTGGTGTAAATTGAGTTGAATATTCACCTAATCCTGTGGTCTCTAAATCAAAATACACAGGTTTTGTGACTGCTGACAGAGTCCCCTCTACTGGTGGTCTCCTTGGAGGAGGGATCTCTGTGATATCTGGTTGAGTTTTGAGGTCCACTGAGCTGCTGTAGCTCTCCCCCTCTCTGAGTTCTGAGACTGCATTTGACTTGGCACTAAATAAATAAAAGAAAAATATTATTTCAGGACAATCTGATGAAATATCAAGCCCAAGGAGATCTTTGCTTTTAGTAACAAGGTGTAATTTTAAGTTCTTTGGCAATGGTTTGGGAAAAGGTAGTTACGACTTCTAGCTCACTTTGCCATACCCATGGTATGAGATATTAATGCTCAATGTACCAAAGTTCATGTGTATATTTTTTTTTGAAAGTTATTTTATCAAAAGCAAGTGATGAATAGTATTTTTCACTTCTTTTTTTTTTTAACTGACAACACTAAAAAATACCTTCTGTTCTTGAGTTGAATTCTCCTCAATTTATACTGCCTTGATGAACATATTGCTTTTCTCTTTCTGGCCTGCATATCACGAAGTGAAGCAAGTCTCCTAGTGTGGCATCCAGGGGAAAGTCCTAGCTCTTTGTACACCTTAAATGAACAGACAATTATACAGGTAATAGAATTGGAAAGAAACCTCTACAGTATTCACTGATAAGAAACATTTGACATGTATAATAAATAAAACACTATGAAGACTTGCTAAAAAATAACTTATAATATATACAAACACCACTGAATACCTTTAATAAATAACTCTGTCCATCATTCTTTTGTGCAACAGCAGAAGCTACCCTCCTGTTCAAACTGGCTGATCCTCCATAAAAGTGTGTTTTAGGGGCTTTCGATGCAACGGTTTTATTAAAGCTCTCGTTGCCTTGGGTGCTGCCCATTGTAGATAGCTTTTGGCTCTGGGCTTTATATTTGCACATAATATCTCCAAGAGCTGTCTGGAGTGGAATATCTCGCAGAGGTTTTCCATACGGAAATGATGTATATTTTCTGCCAGGGGTGTCAATATGTTGGCACCATGTAGACTCACAAAAGGTATGGTCTCCAAATGGATGCCGATACATTGCGTTGAATCCTTTCTCTATACCTTGGGCATTTCCTTGGTTTTGTGCAAGCATATAGTCCAGACACCTCTGCAAATACTTGAAAATCTTTGGGTTTTGCAACTTCTTATGCTTGTTTCTCAAGGAGTACAAGGCATTACCTATATTCTTCTTCACATGGTTTTTGTCACATTTTTTTTTTAATATCAGGATTCACATTTTGTTTTATTCTAGCAATGGTTGTAGTGTCATCATCCGCAATTATTGTTTCAATACTGGCTCCGTTTTCTTTACATGTTCCCATCAATTCTACAACCATGTCCTGCTCCATTCCTTTGGCGCTTCCGGTCCAGTTCATGCGACAGTCATGCTTTTTAGGTGTTTTTCCTTTCCGAGCCGCTTCATCACATGTCTTGCAGTACTTACTGCGTACACTGCACCCAATTACTTTTCCAGTCTGGGCTCCTATCATAGAGCAGTGACCTACAAGATAAAATATAAAAATACACTATCAATTATAGTATGTATGAACAAAATGAGTCAATTAGCCTTGATTAATAACATCCTCCTAAAAATCAAAACCAGATCTTTCCATGAACAAAATATCATTCATATTGAAACAAAAATGGTGGCATTTGCAACTTCCTCTTAAGAAGCACAGGGCCAATTTTATCCATACTTGGTACAAAGGAGAACTAGAATTTCATAGTGACAACATAAGTGATCAAGGTGTTCAATTCATTCAATTTATTCCATAGAGGTTTGAAAAAAAATAGCATTTTATGGGTTTGAAACTATAGTCCCAAACTGTTGTTAATAATTTAATCACAAATTTAAATACAAGAGGCCCATGAGCCTTAAAGGTCAATGGAGCATTATAAAACAACTTTCCAGTGATTGAATTTGATTTGTGTTTTAAGCCAGATGCCAGGGCATTTACAATGTTGAAAGAGGCACCATTGATCATCATAACTATACAGTTAGCAGTTGCTTAGTTTGGTTACTCAATACCCATGGGCAGGGTAGGGGAACAAAAAATGCATTTCAACTAATCAGTAATATTCAGCAATAATCAGTAGTGCCCCTACCACACATGAACCCCTGACCCTTAGGCCTAGATCCACACATTGCACAATTTTTGAAAAGGCATCCTTGCTTTTTAAAAATATTTGATTAATACCAAGGAGCAGATTTCAAACAATCCATTCATTTTTAGTATAAAAGTACAGCCCCCCCCCATCTATAGTTCTCCTGACCCTGGTGCTTGAAATTCACAATTCTGGAAGATTATGGCCCTTACTCATCATAACTATAAAGGTAGTTCATCTGCTTAATACCCAGGAGCAGAAAAGTAAATTTTCAAAGATTTAATGTATTTTCACTATATAATCAATAGATCCCCACCCTAACACCAGAACCCCTGACCCTGGGGCCATAAAATTCACAATTTTTGGTAGAGGCATTCTTGTTCATCATAACCATGTACTTAGTTGGTTTCTCTAATACCCAGGAGCAGAAAAGAAGATTTTCAAAGAAATAATGCATTTTCACTATATACTTATTTAGCCCCGCCCTAGCATTAGAACCCGTGACCTCAGGACCATGAATTTCACAATTTTAGTAGAGGACTCAATGCTGATTACAATCTTGCCAACAGTTTGACTGCTTGATGTCCAGGAGTAAAGAAGAAGATCTTTAAAGATTGCATTAATTTTAGTGGTGTTGACCCCACCCCTCAGGCCCCAGAGGGGCATGGATCATGAAAATTCACAAATTTTTTTTCTCCTTCACCCATAGATGCTTTAAGCCAAATTTGGTTGAAATTGGTTGAGTGGATGCAGAGAAGAAGCTGAAAATGTTCAAATGTTAACACATGACCCTTGACGACGGACAAAACGGATAGCTATAGGTCACCCGAGTTTACTCAGGTGACCTAATAAGTAATAAAGTATACTTTTAAAATTTTTATCTGGAAGTAAATATGGATGGGCATATGATCAAATCTACCAAAAATGTTTTGGGGTTTAGATCTTAAAGTCAACCCATATACCAGGTATATTTACATTCTGATTAAGGTTTAAAAATGAGCCTTTAACCCAGATGAGCTAAAATGTGCTGACCAATGAATATCGAGGAAAGGCTTGAAATATTTCAGAATAGACGATAATAAAATGATGGGTCTAGCAACAGCTATCTAGAGTTTCTTTGTTTAAGTTAAATTGAGAACCTTAAAAGAGAGCTTGTTTATAAGTAATAATAACCTGACAGACTGTCATAAGATCTTCCACTACCCCTCTTCTGCCAGGCACCATCAACGCTCGCTGTTAATCCACTTGTCTTTTCACCTCTGAAACAAATAAAATTTTGTAAAATTCTAAACCTGTCAAAATGACAGTAACAACTTTTAGTGAACACAGCTTAATTACAGTGTAATGGGACTACATATTATAGAGTACTAACACTTGCAACAGATTGAAAATGATAATTGGAAGTGTTGGCATATACAGGATGGATGTATTCTGCTTTACACAGAACAAATTCCTAAATACATGAATCACATTGGAGCATTATACAAGATATTTTATTGTGACAAAAATAACAGAAATAAACTCTTACGCTTTTGACAATCTCACTTCTTCTGATAAGCTTTCCTTCATACTGGCAGTTGCAACACGCTCCAAGGCTGGTCCCATTTCTTTCTCTCTTTGGGAAAGGACAACATTGCTAACTGTTGGAATATTAAGGGCTGACAAAAAGCTGTTTACTTTCTCCCACCAATACCACTGTGTACCATTGCTACTCAAAAAAACAACAACAAACATGTGCATATACATGTAAATGTAAATTGTTATTACTTGAAAATCACTTTTCACAAAGAATATATTTTTAACCTATTTATCATTAGAAGGCTTATCCTCTTTATACTAAAATAAAAGTTACATGATCTTGACACTGATGATAACAACAATACAATATGACCTTTGTTTTTCTGGCTCACATATTTGCAGTCTTATTTGCTTTACAGTGAGAATGAGTTTGTGGAAACTTTGTTATTCTCATATTTTTGAAAAGACAAAAATCTCTTTTTATAAAAACACATTAATTAATTTGACTCATTTTGAACTAATTAAATAAAGGTGTCTGGTAATATCTTGGGTTTACCTGTTGCTAGTTTTGAATTTGCATCCCATATGCCATCATGTCGCTTTCCAGTAGGTATGGAATTAATTTCATTGCAATTTGTATTGTAACAAGGAACCTGAAAATCCATAAAAATTTTATCCATTTTGTTTAACATAAATTGCCTACGTCACAATGATCGAGCTATGTCAAAGAACATATTAATTACTCCACTTGACATTTTTTATTTACTTTTACAATTAATCAATGTGAAGCCTTATTATGGGGAAAAAATTATCTCATTGTCTTGCACTGAAATTAAATTATAAGGAATGAAACATTTCAACCTATATTATACGATTAATATAACAAAACTTGGGGCAGTTTATGCTTTTTTATAAACCGCTTCATAGTCATAAGAATCCTTTATGATCAACCTAAATCCAGTTCATTCAATAAATGTCTTGGCCAGATGTATAAAAAAAATTAAAAGTTAAGCTATATATGATCATGATGATATGATTATTACTTTTTAGTATAATTTTATAAAGCATATTTTAAACTGTATAAAGTACAAGTAAATGTGTTCATTTGGTTGTCCATAAACTGAACCAGTATATACCTAGTTATTGTTATTACTCTTTGTAGTTTTGTAATTTGGTATTAAAACTTCGACTTGAGACCGGCCATTGCTATATACGATCATTTGAGTGCTTTGTAAGGAAAGTCTGTTTACATGATGATCGTGCATGCAAACAGCTACCGTAAATCTGTAGATAAATTTTTGGCAAGTTTGCGAGTTCACTGCATTCGCAAAAATATTTTTCTTAAAAAAAAATTACGGAATAAAAAAATGTAAACAAAACAGTGGTAATTCGCAAAATTTTGAAACCTAAAATTTAATCAACACCATTTTGACCCGAATTGGCAAAATAAAATTGACGTAAAAATTTTCAGATTTACGGTATTGCAAATTTCCTGAGAGTGAGATATATACAAGATAGTCATATGGGTGTAAAAGTCTATCTACATGACCGCATGTCCTACATGTTCAGGTTTGCCTGTTGCATTATTGTCCCAGAGGTGTATGTTGTCAACATCACGCAAATACCCCCAAATAGCAGATCATACGAAAAAGTATAATTACATGCAGTGTCTTCCCTTTATTTCAAAGTAAAGGGTTAGAGATCAATTGTGACATGCTAGAGGTTGAGGTGTATGACAAATTTCTGTGCACCTTGCAAAATTAATATTGAATTTATTTTTTTTTATTTCAAAGTGGAAATGGTCAATTTGGCCAACATTTCTTAGGGAAAAAACTGTACACTACAGTTGTGTAAATAGCTGATGATAACACAAGTGCACATTGTCATGGACACAGAGTACACTGCCATTATACATGATATTTCATTGTGTATCCAATGTTCATTATTCCAATGCTATATATATATAGGCCTTTACCCCACCTCTGATGATTTTTCCGTGAAATCCTGGCTTACGATTGGTTGAAGTCTGTCACGTGAAGGCGGTGGATTACTTATACCCGGTCAGTTGTAAATCCATACCCGGTCAGTTGTAATCTATACCCGGTCGATGTATTACGTCACAAACACAAACGTGACGTCATAATAGGCACAGTATAAGCGCGATGAAGCATTTAGCAGAGAAAACCATTTATAAACTACAGATAAAACGTAAATGTTACATCGGTGGGGTAAATTCGTTACACAGTCTTTTAGTGACAGGGTATGGGATGATACCTGGTTAGTAAATTTCATACCTGACTCGGCTCCGCCTCGCCAGGTATGAAATTTACTAACCAGGTATCATCCCATACCCTGTCACTAAAAGACTATATAATATTAGTTACATAGTCTTTTAGTGACAGGGTATGGGATGATACCTGGTTAGTAAATTTCATACCTGGCGAGGCGAAGCCGAGTCAGGTATGAAATTTACTAACCAGGTATCATCCCATACCCTGTCACTAAATGACTATGTAACGAATTTACCCCACCGATGAAACATTTACGTTTTATCTGTAGTTTATAAATAGTTTTCTCTGCTAAATGCTTCATCGCGCTTATACTGTGCCTATTATGACGTCACGTTTGTGTTTGTGACGTTATACATCGACCGGGTATAGATTTCTACTGACCGGGTATGGATTAACAACTGACTGGGTATAAGTAATCCACCGCCTTCACTTGACAGACTTCAACCAATCGTAAGCAAGGATTTCACGGAAAAATCAACAGAGGTGGGGTAACTAATAATACTCTGACATTAGTTTGATGTGTAAGACACCACTGCTGTTCATTTTATTTAATTTATAGATATCATATAAGGCATAATATATGTTTAACACAGGTACTTGGGTCTTGAATTATAAATATATATGTACCTTAAAATATTAAATATACTTTTTTTATTTTTACATATCAATAAGATCACATAAATAGTTATAATCCAAGATAAGTACCTGTGATTTTAAAAATTACCATCTATATAGACTATGTACAAATAACAGATACTTTATAAATTTGACAACCCTAGGCCTAACTTACTTTTACTGGACTTGAGTTAAATCGCAGAACTTGTAATGCCAATGCATGTGATAGCTGGAGTGGAAGGCCACACTTCCGACAGAGAAAAACACAAACTTCACATTGATGTATAAAATGATTAATGCCCGTCTCCCCACCTGATTATTTGTATGATTTGATTCAACCTTGTTTTCCTGTTCAACATGCTTACAACCTAAGGTCTGGATGTAATAACTTATGCATACCAGTTTGTAAAACAATGTCATACTATAATAGTTTTATTCCATCAACCGTAAAACTTTGGAACAGTCTTACTGAAGATGTAAAAAACTCTCCTTCATTAGCTATCTTTAAAGCTTTAAGAATTGGGGAGCAACTAATAAACCTGTAGGTACTTTAACTTTGGTAATAGGAAAGACAAATATCTTGCATTGTCAGCAAAACAATGATATAATCTTAATGCACATTTAAAAAATCATTTTTTATCAGATATTCAATCATGTCAAAAGTGTGGATTTCATACTGAAGATACTGAACATTATTTTATCAACTGTCCACGTATAATGTTGAAAGAAACATATTTAAAAAAATTAAATGATAAATGTTTTTTTGAAAAAATGTAAATAAAGGAAAATAATGTTATCAAACAAATTGTCAAATATTTTCATATGTATATAGAATTTATAAAATCTTCTAAAAGACTAAATTAATAAATATTAAATATTCTATTAAATGCATAATTTTTTTTGTTCAAAAATTTGTATTATTTTTAAGCTGGAACAGTATGTAAATAATATAATACATAATATAGGGGGTTGTCATTTTTTTTTTTTTTTTTAGATATATTATTGATAAATAATACTTGATTGTGAATCTTTATTTTTCATTATAATTTTATTGATTATCATGTTCATGTATTATTTACTTCTAAATTGTATCTTGACCAATTATAAAAGGATTTGGTTCTTTACATAGGCATTGCCTGTTGCCCATTTATAACATTGAATTATTTATAAAATATGTTTAAAGTATAATTGAAAATTTTAAAAAAGATTTAAAATATGAATATTAAACAGAACACAGACATAATCAGTCAAGTACTCTGACAGTATCAAAAATAAATGAAAAGAATAATATGTCATGCTTTCTTATGTGTGATAACAATAAAAATATGCTTACAATTTTAAAAAGTGTGTATTTTCTTTTGAAAAGTTTAAACACTAGTACTCATAAATACACATTTATATTTTGGCTCAATAGCAAAGAAATAAAACCTAATGTTTCATATTATAGTGCCTACATTTTGCAACCATTTATTCAATATAGATGGCAATTGGGCCATTAAATATTCCTTTGTTTAATAAAATGTGTCAATTAGAAATTGATAAATTTTTTAATACCATTAAAAAAAAAAATTCAAAACGTAATTCATTTTAGTAAGTTATATTGTGATAGAAATTGAAATAATTTTAAGCATCACCATATTTTGAAATAGTTTTAAGATATAATTAAATATTTTATACTTATATCTTTTCTTATGTTTTACTGCAAATTAAAACATAAATGTATCAGATAAAATATAATGTTTCAGTTGTAAATCGCTTTCAAATTGATGGATAAATCAGCATTTTTGTGTTTACAACAAATAAACATAAGATCCGAAGCCCTGACATACAAAAATTTTGGTTAATTGTGACAAATAACAGTCCATATTACCTGTAAAAAGGATTTTTTGTATCAATAAAACATATTAAATATAATTTCAATATTTATAAAAAATATTAACTATAGATTTCCCAAATAAGTATTAATTTGAAAAATGAAAAAATTCATCGAATTTGTTGATTTTTTCCCCCGCTTTCGCGAAAAGGAGACATTAAATCTCATTCATAATTCATAATTGTCCTTCTCAACAAAATCTGTCCGCATTTTTTTTATTTTGTCATCACAAATATTTAACCTTGCCCATAACTTTTGATATAAGTGGAGCTATGTTGTTTCATATTGCACATGTTATTCTTTGTCTTTCTTTGGGTACCAACAAATTTGACCTTTTGACCTTGACCTTGGAGTTTGACCCACTTTAAACAAAAATTCCAAACTTTTACTTTATAACTTTTGAATGGTAGGTACTACGACTTTCATATTTTACATATGTCTTGTTTGTAGCAAGACCTTTCATTGGATACCAACAATTTTTGACCTTTTGACCTTGGTCTCAGAGATTTATGTACTTATGAAAAAACTTTAACCTTGACCAAAACTTTTGAATGGTAGGGGCTAGGGCTTTCATACTTCATGTATGTAATCCTTTTGAGAAGACCTTTCATTGAATACCAAGAACTTTGATCCTTTGACCTTGACCTTAAAAGTTTGACCTACTTTTTAAAAACTATAACCTTGGTTACAACTTTGGAACTGTAAATACTGGCACTTTCATATTTCATATATGTATTCTTTGTGGCAAGACCTTTCATTTGATACCAACAACCTTGACCTTTTGACCTTGACCTTGGACATTTTTTGTACTAATAAAAAACTTAAACCTTGACTATAACTTTTGAATGGTAAGGGCTAGGGCTTTCACACTTCAAATATGTAAT